GCAGAGGCCGGACCCGCAGGGGCCATGAGGCACGGGGACGGAGGGGGGCGGTCAGCTGGGAGAGGGCGACCGGCGCCTTCTCCACAGAGCCCCGGAGGCACAGCAGAGAGTGAGGAGGTCATTCCAGGCCTAAGGAGAAGCAAGGATCGCCTGGCCGGGCAGGGCGGGGTGGGGGTGGTGAGGGGCGGGGCGGACAGGGAGACAGGACCTAAGAATGAACCGCGGGGCACCAGCTGCTGGGCTGCCTCAAGAACAGCCCAGCGGGGGTGTGGTCGAGATGGGACGGCAGGTGATGAGTGAGAATCACCAGGCTGAGGATGGGCTTTTATGTACTCGGCACGACTCTGTGCCACCCAGGTAAGGCGCCCTTGCCCACAGGGCTAGGCCATCCTCACCAGGTGGGGTAGGGGCTCCATTTGTTTCTGCCACTCTAAAAGTGACAGACCACTGAAAGCTAAGGACTTCGAAGGAATGATGGCATCAGAAAATCACCATTCGGCAACCAACCCAGTAATAATTGTTTCAGTCAAGACTCATCATGGATGCTAAAACTAGCAGGCAAAGGTCTGATGAGAAATGGGATAGTTACCTCATCTTCAATACCTCCCTCAAAGGTACCTAATAATTTCAAAGGGGAAAATAGTAACTTTTAGCTGAGACACCTGGGAGGCCGCACCTTAGCCCCGTGAGCACTGTGAGCACGGCCAACGGTGGGGCAAACCGACATCATGTACCTCTGGACAAAGATTCAACGGCTTTGATGTTCCTGCCAAAGCCCCAAATGAGGGGCGGTCACACAACAGCAGGCCAGGATGCTCCGACGTGGCAGTCATGCGAGGCAAAGCAAGTGTAAGGCGCTGTCCCAGACCAGCCGTGTGCCCCGAGCCGTGGGAATCGGCTGCCGCCATGGCCGGGAGCTGGACCTGAGACCAGGAAAAGAAAATGAGTGCAACAATTGGTAATAAAAGTACAGTAAGATGTGTAGATAAACTAATAGTACTGTATCCGTGTTTATACACTGAAGTACTGAGAGGTAAAAAGAAAAAAAACTGGTGGCAAAGACAATTCTTTCTCACAGTTCTGTGGGTGGCTGCGCACTTCTCCACTGGTTCCAGCAGACCCGGCTCGTGTGTGGCTGCGTTGCTGGCAGGTCACCTGGCTGGAAGGTGCCTCGTGCTGGCAGTGGGCACTGAGCTGGCTGGGCCCTTGGTTCTCCTCCACGTGGCCTCTAACCCTCAGGTAGCCTGGACCAGCTTCCATATGTGGTGGTCGCGGGGTCACATCCAAGATGATGAAGACACAGCCACGAGGTGTCCCGAGGCCCGGGTTCTGGATCAACCATGGCGTCCTTTCCTCATGTCCTGCCAGATCAGCCATGTCCCAGAGCCAGCCCGGATCGGCAGGTGGATTCATGGACCCTGCCTCATAACATGAGCAGCCACAAAGTATGTTTGGCCATATTTAATCTCCCACAGTGTGACCCATCAAGATACATGGAGCACACTCACCCCTTATCAGGCCCCTGTCCCCCTCCCCCTGGTGCCAGGACCACCTCATACAGAGCCTGCGTCAGAATTTTTACATAAAAGGAGCATGGGGAACAATCCATGGGTAAGAGAGTTGATTAGTGGACTTGTTTCCAAAGTGATCATAGAACAAATTTTCTTCTCCTGAGATACATTTACATGTAGAAAAATTCACATTTTTTGGTATACAATTCTATAGATCGTGACAGATGTATGCAGCTGTCATGCCCCTCAGGGTCAGCCACTCCCCATTCCCAGCCCCCTGCAAGCGCAGATCTGTTTTCTATCCCTATAGTTTTGCCATTTCCAGAATGTCACACAAATCAAATCATACTGTATATAGGCTTTTGCACCTTTCACTTAGCCTAATGCTTTTGACATTCTCCCCTGTTGTTGCATGAATCAGTAGTTCCCTTTTATTGGCTGAGTGGTATTCCACTATATGGATATAGCAGGGTTATCCATTCACCCATTGGAAAACAACTGGGTTGTTCCCAGGTTTTGACAGTTATGAATAAAGCTGCTCTAAACATTCATGTACAGGTTTTTGTGTGAACATAATTTTCATTTCTTTAGAGTAAATAGCTGAAAAATTGCTGGGCCATAAAGCAAGCATATGCTTGCTTAACTTTATAAGAAACTGCCACACAGCTTTCCAGACGGGCCACACCATTTTACATTTCCATTAGCAATGTCTGGGAGTTCCTCTAAATCCTCATCTGCACTTGGTATTGTCAGTGTTTCATATTTTAGCCATTCTAATAGATGTGTAGTGGCATCTCATTGTGATTTGAATTTGCATTTTCTTAATGAACATTGATGTTGAGCATCTTTTCATGTGCTAATTTGCCATTCACATATTTTCTTTGGTGAAATATCTGTTCAAAAAATTTTTTGAACCTTTTTTGAATGGGTTCTTTGTTTTCTCATTATTGAGTTTTGAGAACCCTTTATATATTCTAAATACAAAGTCTTTATCAAATGCAAATATTTCCTCCCAATCTGAAGCTTGTCTTCTTATTCTCCAAATGGTGTATTTCACAGAGCACAATTTTGAAATGAAGTCAATTTATCAGTATTTCCTTTCACAGATAATGCTTTTGAAAAGAAATCTTTGCCTAACCTGAGGTCAGAATGATTTTCTCCTGTGTTTTCTTCTAGAAGTTTAGTAGTTTTGAGTTGTACATATAGGTCTATGATCCACTTTGAAATTTATTTTTTAATGTGAGATACAGATTCGGGTTCATTTTTTCTGTACATGGATATTCAATTGTTCTAGCACCATTTGCAGAGAAAATAATTGCAGAGGAAATTCACTGGGATTGTGCACCTGGATGGTTGAGGGCAGGAGTAGTAAAAAATAACTGATGGGCAGGACTAAAGAACCCCTGCTCCCAGCTAGGCACCAGACCTTAGATTTCCAGCCTTCCCATGGGCAGGCCAGGCCCAGTCAAAGAGAAAAGCCTTCCGTGGGCCTTGCCAGGCCTTGTGTAGTTACTGTTTAACACCGAGGTGAAAATGAGCTTTTCTTGTAACTTAGGGTTTGCTGTTTCTCCAAGTAGGTTTTGCTAACACAACCTTTATGTTAGATATATGGTGGGTAGGAGCCCCTGAAGGCCTCTTGGCTTCTTGCTACTGAGAAGAACCTGAAAAGATACTGGAACACATTTCTGCAGGACAGGAAGGGAACAGGGCCTGGAAGAGCCTTCAAAGCAGAGTCCAGAGGGCAGGATTTGCTGTGGGCATGGATATGAGCAGGGAGGACCAAGCGGGGACTACAGAGGCCTGGTGGCGGGGCCCGCTCTCCTGTGCACACGGCTGGTGCTCTCTCGCCGCGGTGAGATGGCACACAGAGCCTCTGCTTGGTCTCCAGTGCCAGCCATTCCACTTCTGGGATTTCTATCCCAAGGAAAGAACCAATCGCATGGACCAGGTTTTGTCCCAGTTTTGTTGAGGATTGCAGGAAACTGGCAACAGCTGCAGTGAATTCAGGGCTCCTTTGCTAGAGAAATGTTGTGCAGCCACTTAAGGGTGATGCTGGGGTATCTGGTGTGGTCAGGAGGAGCCTGTGAGACCCCGTTGGTGATGAACAGTGGTTACGGGACAGACACTGGAGGTCTTCTGTAAATACTGCATGCTCATGTAAGCGTATATACTTTGTTGCTCACCTTCACTATTTCAGAGTCACTTCTTTCTATAACCAGCCCTTAATCCCCACAGCTATAGTGTCAGAGTTTATTCTAATCAGAAGTCCTGCCCTCTTCTCCCACTGGACCTTTTTTCAGGTCCACTGCCAAGGAGCCAGGGATGGCCAAGGGGTTTCAGAGGAGGAGGGGTGGGGCCCACAGGAGGAGCTGGGGATCAGCTGTCTGTGGGCAGAGGCAGTGGGACGCCACACTCAGGCCCACTGTGTCTGTGCCATGTCTGGCAGTGGGATCAGGGGTGGGGGGCGCCCATGGCTCCATTCACATGCCCTGGCTCCCTAGCATCACGCAGGGCACTTGTCTGCAAATGGCTCCTTGGGAACCAGTAGGTCCAAAATTTGTATTAGTCATAGTACACTTTATTAAAATGAAGTTTCAGGCTGAAGGCCACTATATAAAGCAGATACACGTACAGCAGAGGTGCTCTATAAAAGGAGGTGGTGGCCTGGGCTCTGTCTACTGGGGGCCTTCTTGCCTCCCAACACATAAATATCAAGCCCCTACCTCCTCTCTGAAGATAAAAAGGGAATCTCTGGCCCTGGGCAATTATGAGTTGCTGGAATTCCTCTGCCCAGGTGATCCCTCAAGGGCAGTGGGAGGGCTGCTAACGTCCCATCCCTCCCACACAAGCTTAGCGCCTGGCTTAAAGGAAGTGCTTAGTAAAATGACTAAACACACCACCTCCCTGTGGGCCGCCATCAGGACTGACCAAAGACCCCAGCCAGGAGTGCAGAGGTGGGCTGCCAGACGGATGGATTCAGGGGTGGTGCTCAAAACGTGCGACAACACAGTGGTCCTGGCTCGGGTCAACCAGTAGAATATGGAATGAGGGTTTCTGGCAGGAGGGCTGGGGCAGTTGAGGCTTTAAGAAGGCACTCAAGGGGCTTGGGACAGTGGCGATTTATCGCCCAGGATGGAAGTATTTAAAAATTTTAACTGACATGGCTGCATGTCAGCCGTGGGCAGATGGACAAACAGGTGGATGGATAAATTGGAAGATGAGAGGATGGAAGGATGGAAGGAAGAAAATGGACACATGGATGAGAGGAGTGGCAGAAAGGGTGGAAAGGTGCAAGAGCATGAGGGCAGAAGGATGAAGGATCAGTAGGAAGCTGGGAGCACGCGTGGGTGGAAAGGCAGGAGGCTGAATGGACAGGTGGACAGACAGAAGGAAGAGGCAGGCTGGAGGGAAGGGTGTTTGCACAGCGGCGGGTGGGCTGCCGACTAAAGCCCACCAGCGATGTCTGGCCTCAGCTCTGGACTCCCACAGGCAGTTTCCTGGTGCCCTACGTCGTCATGCTCGTCGTGGAGGGGATGCCACTCCTGTACCTGGAGCTGGCGGTGGGCCAGCACATGCGGCGGGGCAGCGTCGGGGCCTGGACGGCCATCAGCCCCTACCTCAGCGGTGTTGGTAAGCGGGTGCTCTCCCATCCCCCCCTGCGTCGAGACCCCCATTCTGTACCCCAGGCAGCAGGCGCATGGGTGGGAGCCCCCGGCCAAGCTGCTGGAGCGAGGGGCAAGCACGAGGCCGCAGAGGGAGCCCTTGAACTGGGAGCACTGACAGCCCAGAAGGCGGTGCCCCAGGGGGGGGGCTGAGGGGGGCTGCTCTCCCGCCCACAGGACAGTGAGAGAGCGAGGAGCACACCCCCTGGGGGACGGATACCCCACCACTTCTCTGGACTTCAGTTTGCTCATCTAAAGAAGGGAATAGCCACCAAACAAAAGAGCTGTAACAAAGGAGTCAGTGTCCCGAGCTTGAGGAACTCATGTCACTGCTCCCTGCTGACTGTGAATGAGAACACCTACTGTGTGCCAGGTGCTAGCCTGGGTAATACCCATGTGTGAGCTCCTTACGGCACCCCACAGCGCTGAGAGGCTGTGGGCTGCTAGGAGGTGGGATTGGAGAGCAAGAGGCACTGCTACACCCCGCCTCCCTCGAGTTCCAGAGAAGCCAGTGTCCCAGGCCTGCCTCTCCTGATCATTAGCCTGCCCTGCACAGCCCTCAGGTGCCAGGGCTGCCTCTGCCAAGCAGGAGGACCTTTGGCCAGCAGCAGCCAGTCAGTTCTGCTCCCCTTCCCACCCCGGGACAGGGAGGCCCGGAGGAGAGCAAAGCTGTGCTGCAGGGACCAGGAGGACATGACCTTGTATGTGACTTTGTCTCACATGGAAATAAAGGTGTCCAGGGGCCTCACAAATCATCTCCAGACCTGAACGGCCTCCTCATCTTGAGTGGCTATTAATTTGTAACACAGAGGTTTGTGGTTTTACGATCTGCCCAAGTAATCCGTCACAGAGGGCCTCTCCAACGCAGCATTTGCTGTGCCATCGGAAAGATACCAGACGCCTGTGCCATCTGGTGGGCGGGATGGGGGCGGTGAATGTTTAACACCCAGCGTGAGGTAGGAGAAGGCCTGGCCGTAGCACTTACTGATACCAGTGGTGTCGATATGCCCATCTTGGCCAATTTCCAACGACTAAGGCGATGTCTCAGCATGTGGGATTGGGAGGGGCGCCCGCAGCAGCTCCGGAGCACCACTGGCTGCCAGCCCTTTCTCCGCCCTGGGTGCCCCCCACTCGGGTTCCCTGCAGGCCTGCCCAGCTCGGGGGACTCCCACCCCTCCACTCCTGACACATCCTCACATCCCTGCTCCCTGCCACACAAGACAGGGTTTGGCACAAGACCCCCCTTCAGGGAGGCCAAGGAGGGAGCAACTGTGATGTCATGTCCTTGGCGGTGACAAAGTGCCTCTAACGCTGGGTTGAGTCCAGTTCTGCCACTTGATGACTGGCTGGCCTTGGGCAAGCTCTTCAGGGTTGTCCCCTGTGAAGTGCAGATCATCATGCTGTGATGCCCCAAAGCACGTAAATACTTGGCACAGCACCTGGCACTTAGATCTCCAGAAGATGGGGAGGAAGGCTGGGGGAGGAGACTGACCCTGGGAGAGAGCTCACAGGCGCCTGGTCCCATTGGCCCTCTCACTAACCCGCTGAAGGAGGTCTTGCCATCGCAGGGAGCCCCCAGAGGCGGGTCCTGGGGGTGCATCTGGGGTGGGGCCACCACTGCCTGTCCAGGTGGGTGGGGACGAGAGGGTCCTCAGCACCCCCTGCTTCCCTGCAGGTGTCGCTAGCGTGGTGGTCTCCTTCTTTCTCTCCATGTACTACAACATCATCAATGCCTGGGCCTTCTGGTACCTCTTCCACTCCTTCCAGGTGAGCGAGCCCACGCCAGAGCAAGAGCAGCCATGTGAAGGGGAGGGGAGGGCAGGGCTGCCCCCTGGGATGGGGTGGAGGCTGGGCGGCAGCCTCAGGGGGAGCCAGGAAGCGGTGTGAGGACGCGGGGGGGTGGGGGTGGGGGCCAGCACTGGGAACCAAGCAGAGGGCTGCTGACCCTGGGATCCATGGAGCCCTGCAATCATGTGTGTGCGTGTCTAGGAGTAGGTGCCTGGCTTTAATCAAGTGCTCTCTGAACCATGTGACCCCCAAAATATTAAGCACCTGTGCAGTGGGCCCAGGGAAAGTCTGTGGAGAGAGCCAGTGGGGAAGGATTCTACCAGCCCCGCAAGGCAGTAACAGCCCGCCTCCTCCCCTGCACCCCCCTGCCCACCTTCCCAGCCTGGGCACTTGTCCCTCCAGCTTTCTGACTCCAGGCCCAGCCCCTCTTTTCCCTGTAGACCAAAGTTCCCCTGGAAGGACCATCATCACCCCAGTAACACAATAGGGGCTAGTCCCGAAGATAAACATTTTAAACATGCATTTCTGCTCATAAGCACAACTGACTCTCATTGTAGAAAATATGGAAGGGACTTAAAGTTGTACAGAAGACCCCTAATTCTTCACTGAGACGTGGTCTTTGCATCCAAGCCAAGGGGACTTCCCTTCTGCAGCCCCTGTTCATTTCTCTCCCCCAAAGCCTTCCTTTCACTCTCAGGGACCCCACTCACCACTGTCCCCCTTGCCTTACAGCAGCTCCTTCTGTCTCAGACTCTTCCCAGATGGGAAAGGAGTGGGTGGAGACAGGAGCTAACGAGGCAGACGCCTCACCCTCTGCCACAGAGCCAGGCCCTCACAGGGTGGACCCTGTCCCCAAGGCCCAGAAGCAGGGCGGGCTGGCCATGGCCTGCGGTCTAGCCTCCAGCTGGTGGGGCATTCTCTGGAGGGCTTGGGAACAGCCTTGAATCTTTGGATCCCCAAGGAATGCTTGGGTAAATGACCTCAATAATCAGGACTTGGCATCTACACTCAGAAAGTACTACATCCACACCCTATTCTCACTTCCCAATCAGCCCTACCCAGGACATCCCATTGGCAAATGCCCTGTGTATGTCCCTGACTGATGGGAAGGCCTCTCTGCCCTGCAGCCCCTAATCCTCTACCTGGACCAGCCTAGAGTTCCATGAACACTGGCCACAGCCCTGCCTCTCCCCAGCTTGCTATGTAGAAACAGGGCAGCTCCTTTTCCTCTCCAGCCTGAAGACCATCTCCCCTCCTCTGTTTAGGGCTGTCAGTGATGGATGGACAGGTTGTGCACTGCACAACAGCTCTCCCTCTAAGGGGTTGTCATACATGCTGCAGGCATTATAGATCTGTATACATATGAAGGCAGTTTTCCAAAGGTGGAAGCAGCATGTCTTGTTCTAACAAAATCAGAATGATTTCACCAACTTTTGAAGGTGAAAATAAAGTGTCTCAAGAAAAGGCACACTTTTTTTCTGCCTTTCAGAAATGTGATTCCTGAAAATCACTTGACCATGCACTCCATCCTTCACAGGTGTATGGACTTCTCCCCTAGCCCCTCTGCTTTGGAGCCCTTCTCCGTGGGCACATAATAATGGTAGTAACAGCAGCTGGCTTTCACTTGCACTTGCTTGGGGCCAGGTAGAATCCCAGCACTTGGAAGTATCCATGTATGTGATCGTCACTGTAACCTAATTTGCTGAGTGCACTGAGCCCCTGAGGCAGAGGGGAGCTGCTTAGCAGGGAGAGTGACACAAGCAGTCAGGCCGCAGGGCCTGTGCCCTTGTCCATCCATCCACTACTGGGGTGGGAGGGCTCCAGCCTCCTGATGGGACCTCCCCAGCAGGAGCACCAGGGACTGTTTCAAATGCAGATGCAGGACAAGAGCCTGACCCACCGATTCCCAGGGGGAGAGGCTGGGGGCTGGGAACAGCCAGTTTCACAAGTTCTTACATGCTCTAAGGCTTCTCCACCCTGGCTGTGCCCTGGAATCAACTGGGGGAGCCTTTAAAACTGTTCTCAAGCCCCTCTGTGCTCCCAACAAAGCCTGTGATGCCCAGTCAGCCTTCGAGTGCTCCAGCCGCTGCCCTTTGGGGCCCAGTGCGCTTCTCTTCCAAGAGCCTCCTATCAGGGCCACTGCCTGTCCTCTCCACCCAGCCCTTATCTCTCTGGGTAATGCTTGTCTTGATCCCAAAGGATCCCCTGCCCTGGTCGGTCTGCCCGCTGAACAGCAACCGCACGGGCTATGAGGAGGAGTGTGAGAAGGCCTCGTCCACGCAGTACTTCTGGTTCAGGAAGACCCTCAACATCTCACCATCCATCCAGGAGAATGGGGGCATGCGGTGGGAGCCGGCACTGTGCCTCGTCCTGGCCTGGCTCGTGGTGTACCTGTGCATCCTGCGGGGCACCGAGTCAACCGGCAAGGTGGGACGGCCCAGCATGGGGCAGAGCAATGGGCGGCAGGAGGGCCTGCAGCGCCTCCCTGGGCAATGCCAAGGGGATGCCTTCTGCAGTCGAGGGGCAGACGCTGTGCTGAGGAGGGCACCAACAGCATTGCTGGCAAAGACCACCCGCTGAGCAGTTGTAAAGATGGACAGGGCCTAAATATTGAAAAGAGGACTTTCCCACTATCTAAAAAGATGAGCCTTTCTGTGCCAACCTGTCCCAAATTCATATGACCCAGGTAGTACCCGGAAAGTAGACAGTGAGTGTCCCCTCTTTAAATGATTGCAAATGTTCCCCAAGACACGGTAAACCCTGGCTTTCAGACTTAGCTGCACATTGATATTACCTGGAGAGCTTTTAAAACTGGTGTCTCTATCCTACCCCCAAAGGTTCCGGAGTAATCAGGGTGAGGTTCAGCCTGAGCACTGGAATGTTAAGAGATCCCCCCGGTGATTCTAATGTGCAGCAGATTTTGAGAATCTGTGTACTAAACTGCTTTCAGTGACCCTACAGAGCTGGCAGGCCTGATTTTTAGACCTTTTCTCTTTGGTTGCAGCCCAGGTTTATACTCCTGGTGAGGCTGAGGTGTTCCTTTAACTCTGAGCTCCCTGTAGAAAGTTTCCTTGGAGTTCTCCCATCACCTGCCATCTTTCCCCAGCTGCAGCAGGTGCCCTTGCCCCTGCCTCACATTCAGTCACTCCTGAGGCAGATTTGCCACGCTTGGCCATAGAAATTGTTTCAGTCTTGCAACAGCCCTTCGGAGTAGATTTAATTATTCCTCTCACCTGAGGCCTAGAGAGTAAAGCCACCACCCCAAGGGTACCAACCAGTGAAAGCAGAGCCAGGGCAGACCCAGCTTTGTTCCAGACTCCCCATCGCATTGGTTTAATGAGGCACCTCTTGTTTGCTGTCGCCACACCTTCTGTGACTTAGTCAATCCCAGCTAGCTTCTCCCTTCTGAAGGCCCTGCGAGTCCACCTGTCCGCACCCCTCAACCTAAGCAGCCTCCTCTGGCCCACCATGTTTTTCTTGAAGCATCAGGACCAGAGTTGCCCACAGTAGTAGGAACCCCGTGCCAACCCCAGTCCCATGCCTGGGAAGAACATTTTCTTGTGGTTTCCGAAGACCTGTGGCAGCACGCATCCTGGCCCCAAAGCACCACACCCCTGGCCAAATGGGGGGACTAGTGAATCTTCCCTGGGAAGGCTTAGAGCCTGAAGCGACTCACTCTATCCCATCTTGAAGCTTGGCCTGATAGTTTAGCCTCATAAAAAATGTTTTTGCAATTTGTCTTTGCCAGATTATTATGAACATGGTCCAAAGATCTAAGGGCAACATCTGCAATCTGGGGATTTAATCAGGCCGCCTCTTTATCAGGCCATTTAGAAATGTGTTAAATGAAGTCATGCCATACTATGAGGACTTATTTATTCTCACTTATCTATGTCCTTTGCTTAAGCCATAGCCCTCTCCCTGAGAAGTGCCCTACGACTCTATTTATGGGGATTAATTTTGCTAAAAACTGTGTGCCATTTTCTGGTCGCCTCTGTTGCAATCTCCTTTTGTCCTCCAAGAGTTTTTGTAGGTTGGTTAGAAATGGTTTTTCCTGAGAGTTTAGGCTCGATCACGTGCCCAGCAACACTGCCAGCTTCCCAGATGGGGGAGAAGCCCCCGGAGAAAAGTGTTCACCCAAGGGAAGGAGAGAAATCCCCAGGGCTTGCCTGGCATGCCCCCTCAGTGCCTGGTCATGGACACTGGTCCTCAACCCCCTGTTGTCCCTTGATGTCCTTCAGCTCCTGGCCTGGTGTCTGCCTCTCTTCATTCACCCATCTTCACCTCATGCTGGGTTCATTTTCTTATGATCTCCAGTGGATTTATTACTCTTCTCAAGTGACAATGACCTCAGCTAAGGGTAAATGAGAGAAGACACACCCACTCCACCTGCAGGCCACCGGGTGACGGGGCCGGGCACCCCTCAGATGGCCCTGGGCACTCCCAGGTAGATGGCACTGCACCTCTGAGGGAGGGAGGGCCAGGTGCACTTCCAACTCAGCTGGGCCTGGGCTATCAGCTCCGTTTCCCACGGGAGGACCCAAACTTCAAGGGAGCTGCTTTCACAAACATGAATCTTGCAAATTAATTCTTTGCTTTATATAAGAGGCACTACTATACATATGAGTTTATAGAGAAAATTCCAGACCTGGATGGGCACGTGTGTGCTTTAAGGTCTTTATTTTTTTTTTTTTTTGATTATCTTTTTTTTTTTTTTTTTTTTTTTTGGGGGGATTTTTTCTTTTTTTTTTTTTTATTTTTTTTT